ATGAGTACCCTGTTCCAGAGGAGGAAGGTGATTCAAGAACATATTGACTAATTCACACTCATCCACTCATTAAATGGTAACAAATAATTATATTAACAATAATAATAATGACAACAATTGTAATCAAAGGGGCTGTGAGCCAATGAAGTGGGAGAATGTTTAATAATAGACTGGGAATGAACTTTTTGTAATGCGGATTCATAGCTAAGGGGTTTCCACTTCCAGAAAATCTTTACAATACTTTTTTTATTCTTTTCCTTTTGTAACCACTCTTCCTGGTAATTATTGATGGAAAGATTATTTAGTGTCGCAGGTCCACTGGCTAAAATGCCATTATTTGCGTATTATCACCATTCCATTGTTTGATTTTAAAATTTTGTACCCAAGTTGAATATGTGCAGATGTGGTGCAGTAGATTGGCTAGTGGCCTAGAAAGCAAGAGGCTGTGAGTTCAAATTTCTACTGTACAAAAAAATTTGGTTTGTTTTGTTTTTTAGGTTTGTTTTCCCTTAACAGATAAATTATGTTTATGTATAAAAAACAAAATATGTTTGCCTTTCCGATGCTTGTGTTTAAAAAATCATCTGGAGTAAATGAATCATTTCAGAATTTTTTCAGCACGTCAATCAGTTTCGAACTCAAAATAAGATTGCCTGTTATCACTAGCGCAAACGAAAAATGATGATAACTTTTCCTTACAATCAGAGAAAGGGGTAAGTCTATTTACGAGCCAATGGCACATCAGGCCGGTGCTTAACTCCGGTTTCTGTAGCATGAAGCGACTAGGAGTATTTTCAACTGCCCACTGGATGGGATGCTAGTGCATTGCAGGTTTACCCCCAGCATTAAATTTTCCAGTACCCATTTATACACCTGGGTAAAGAGAGGCACTGTGAGAGTAGAGTGTCTTGCCTAAGAGCACAACGCAATGTCCCCGGGAGGGGCTCGAGCCCAGACCACTCGATCCGGAGTCGAGCGCACTAACCATGAGGCCACCGCGCCTCCACACCAGAGAAAGGGGGAAGAAACTTTAAGTCTTTCCCTGGCAATCCTAAAGAAATGTGCTTTGGCCTTCTTTAGGAGGCAGTAGCCACAAAAAAAATTCTATGAAAACTACAGATTTGGCCGAGAAACACCACAGATCAGCTAGTGATTGCATGGCCATATTCACTCTGCTCAATAAACTGAAAATAAAAACTACTCATCATTATCAAAATGATTAACATGGCTGTTGTTTTTGAGAGAGGGATTGAAGTATGCCATGAGTCTCCTTTCTAAATGTTACAAATGTCACTATCTGAAATAGTTTTAGATAATGAAGTGTTGCGTCAATTTAACACCGTCCAGCTGAGAAGTTTCTTTATTCTCCAGAGCTGTTGGCTGAATGATATTTTGATACTGTACCGAGGGACAAATTGCGTGCCAAACGTACAATTCTTTACTGTTAGAGTCTGAGAGTGAAAGAGTAAAAAGCATCCACACGATGCATGAAAATGAAATTATGATGCAAAAGAACAAAGATGCCATGTTTTTTATTTAAATTACAGCTGGGAAATTGGAAAGAAATGTAGTTCTGTTTTAGGTTTTCTAAACGATGTTTTTTTTTACCAACTAAGTTCTTACTTTTGTTTTTGTTTGTTTTTTTTTTTAATTAATATTGTCCTTTACCTCTGTTTTAATTGCAGGGAAACCGTTATTTCAGTTTCTTACTGGCGGCTTTGTCAGTCACGTGATCACGGAACACTAAACATTCCTTGTTCAAGGAAAAAAGGTAATATGAAAGAATAAAATTAAGCTAAAATTTGAGGAAATTTAAGTGATAAAAGAGTTATAATTTCAAACAATTTGAGGATATTTGCAAAGACCTACCCAATTCGAATAATTTTTTGATTTTATCGCAAAATATTTAAGGTCTGCGTTTCCTAGACCTTTTCAGTTTGTAATCTAATGTGCAACTCTTCCCTCTAGGTCCTTCACATTATCTTGTTAGTCGTCAGTACGCGACATTTGGTGTTGTGCTTAGAAAACGCCCTCAGCTGATAAGTTTTCTCGGTGATTATTCTCTGAACATTTGGTTGATATTGGACTGAGAAGCAACATGTTCCTCACTTCTGTAACTTGATGGTTTTAAAAGAAATCGTGCAAAGTGCAATTTAAACCACTAAACTCTTATCAATGATCTGCGAGCTCCAACATTTATCGAGTCATGTTGTTGGCAAGCTATCGTGCAAATTCCATCCTTCTTTGGTTTCTACGATGATTATTTGTATCGATAATTTTCATATTCGATCTTATTCATATTCGATCTTAAACTAGCTCTTTGCATTTTTTTCTTGTTTTGCAGAGAAAATTTGAAATCGGTTTCTTGATTTGGATCTCCTATATTAAAAAAAAAGATATACGCTATTTTTTTTTTAGGATTGAAACTTGCTTACCTTAGCGATTACACCCTCTGACTGATGAGTCTCTTTACTCTCACCACTTGATTGTTGAATGGCATATTGATACTGCAAGGAGAAGCTACTTGTTCATCACTCCTGTGATGATGGAAAATAAGAAGATCCTGAATGTTATTTAATGAATCTTATGGGCAACCCGGGCTCACTTTTTTTTCCATCTTTGGTTTTTTTTAATCATTTTGATGATTTCTTATCATCAACCTTATAAGTAAAACGTTCTTAGATCAGCTACTTGCATTTACATTTGTTTTTCTGGAAAAAACTCATTTCATTTTCTTACTTTTGTTCTCATTAGTCACACCATCAGGATCTGACAAAAGAAGGTGAGCTGTACCCTTTTTTTTTTTTTTCATTTCTATATTTTTATTGGTTCCTTGGTTTCATATTTTATGAATAAAATTGACATTATTACTTTACCGAACAAAACATTTGGAGAGGTTGGTATATGAGGTACTGAACCCTTAGGAATGCAAGTTAAATCTTATTGAATGAAATGGAAGGATTTTCCTTCGTTTGAAAAAACAAAGCGTCTAAATAACGAGTGAGCGGTTTAAACGATGGGAAGAATCTTTGCTCTTTGCCCAATTTTATGCATCATTAAAATCAAAATCTTTACAAAATAACTGTAATTTATGTGTGTGAATTTAATCATATTTCAAATGAATAAAGCGAGTTTCTAAAACAGACAAACCGGTTTTATCTGTATGGGCCGCACAGTTAGAAATACAAATAAACGGATATTTATTCATCTGCATCCAGCTAAATGATTTCATACTTCGTTTGATTGTAGAATGTTTTTTCTTTTTCGTTGGGTTTATGTCCATCAAATTTGTCCGTCGCACAAAAGAAACAAAAGCTAGGTCGCGTAGGTGGATCATCTCCGGATCAATTTAAGATATTTTCATTTGCCTGTATTCTGAATCCAACAACAATGAAAATCAGAGAGTAGAGTAAGACCCTTGTTTTTGGAGGGTAGCAAAGAATGGGGAAGGAAAGGGTTCTGATACTGTTTCACGCACAAATTTTAGAAAAATTCGCGCGTATAGAAAAGGGAAAGCTTTAAATCTTTTTTCTTGTGCACAAGGTTTCTCGGAATCTTGAAGTTTTCGCGATGAAAGATGATGTATACCTCAGGAGATAAATCACGCCCCACCCTGGGTTATAATTCACAAATCGCGTTCGTCTTTCTGTAAAATTCATGCGTTACATATTAATTTTGTCCTTTATTGCTGATCCATTTTCAAATCAATTGTGATCCTTGCAATCTGATCGGCTCCCACCTTAACAAATTATTCACAAATCGCACCATTTTATGCTCTAAATCGCATCTTTTCTCCAGCCAATGAGACAGCTTTACTGAAACACAACTACCAATCAAATGTCGGGGCTTGTTTAAAGAAATCAATGAAATTACAGGAAAATGAGAGACAACTTTTGCAACTTTTTCCAAACAAGCTTAATATACAGAATCAATAAAAGATTTGTACAGACTAAAAAAAAAAACTTGTGCTGAGTGATTGAATTTTACGATTTCAAAATAGATGTCATAAAATGGCAATTGAATATCGTGTCGTGCAATTTTGGTCTGTAATATGATTGGCTGAAAACGAGTTCCTTTTTGTACGTAACACGTGTGCAAATTACAAATAGCGCGCGCGCGCGCAGTCAAAATTTCGCCTGTCTTGACCTTCTGTTATGCTTTTTTAATGCAACTTATTAAAAAGTAAAAACATTATTTCTTGTACAATTTGGTTTAAATAGGCACATTATTAACCACGCTTCACATGTAAACCCACCATCTTTTTGAAAGTCAGTCTGACAGCTTTCGTATGATACTGCGTCGAAGTACAGAAATATCAAATATAATTTGTAAAAATTCATCACCAAAACGATTCAAACAAGAAAGCCTTCTTCCTCCAAGTTTACCCTCCTAATTGCGATAACAAGTGTTACCATGGAAAAACCACCATAAAGTATCAAAACGTGTTTTTTCCAAATCTTAATGCAACTTTCAGTTGGACAAAATATGGTGAAAGAATTCCGCAATATTGGAAATGTCTTATCTACTTTAATATTTCAATTATTGAAGGTTGAAATGCACTGTATTTACTCCAACATTCTTTAATTCTAAGCTGAAAATCTGACCTAGTAAAAAACTTACCGACTTCAGCTGCTTACTCATCGACGCGTTGAAGGCGCCGACTTAAATCGTCTTAACTTATCTTATCAAGAGGATATGAAGTGTCGATTTTCTCTTGATCCCGTCCTATCAACTTATGAGGAATAGAAGTTCAGAATGTTTGCTACAGCTTGTTCAATTAAAACGAATTAAATACATGCTTTAGGATGAATCAAGAGAATATCAACAATTTATCTTATCTTCGCTGAATTCAAGTGTTTGCCGGCTTTACTGCTCATTAACACTCTCAGGGGAAGTCATTTCCAAGCAGTACATTGCGAACAGATTCAGAAATAACTAATTGAGTGACATGTGATGAGTTGAATCCAAGCATAGGACAATTAAGGTGGTTCTATATAGTA